TCTGGCAGAATGCATCGAAGCTGAAGGAGTGTGAAGCCAAAATGGCAAAATCCGAGCCATTTGTGGCAGCCCTCCAGGAAGCCGAGAAGACACCTGCAGTGCTGAAAGTCTACAATGATCTCAGGGTGGTCTGGAATGACTTGGGTACATTCACAGATCTCATTGTTTCAACCAAGTCCTCCAGTGTTGAGACTGTTGCGGATGCCAATAACTTCATGAACTACATCGCCGAGTACGGGAAAGACATTGTGAAGTTCTTGGGCAAGCAAACACCGGAGTTCCTGAAGATTGTGCTTTGTGAATTTGGGCGCCTGTTCTGTGAGGTGGGGTTTTGGTTGACTTGGAGAATGTCAGAATGTTGCTTTATTGAAAAGGTACTCTAGTTTTTAGAGTCGAGTCAAATAGTGTGGCGGTGCCTAACTTATTCAACGTCAGTTCATAATATAATTTAATCATTTTATTATCATATTGTTGATGACACACACACACACACACGCGGCTTACTTTAGCCTCTCCCGACCACCTGATCAGACCAACGTGGTTCCTGGGCAGCTCGAACATGGCTATCGAGCGAGCATCTTCCAGTTCCTATCACTAGCCAAGTTGGAGGGGTTCGACACGTACACCATCATCTCCTTTGGGCAGATACTGGAAGAGTGCAAGAAAAATAGCAAGGTCACCATTGATGCCACATTCTTTCTGCAGATGCAATCCTCCATCTTTGGGGGGTTGTTGGACAGGCTGAGGACCACCGGTGATCAAGCCACCAGAGCTTTGCTGTCCGCTTTGCCTCAGACTCTTTGCCAACCAGACCTCTTGAGGATAGTTTGTGGAAACATTTGTTTTTCAAGCAGGCAAGTAGGGTCAAGTCGAGGGATATGTAATGATTAGAGTCTAGAGCCTAGAGTGCTTGTTAGTAAGTTATTGGCATTGGCGGCATTGGCTTTGTTTGAATTAGGCCTGGCCCAAGTGTAAACAACCCAACTGCAGCTTGTCTCCTGCCCTGTAGGAAAGAGATTCCCGAAGATTGCGCTTTGGACTTCAAGGTGGACGGTTTCGAGAATAGCACTGGCTTTGGGATTCGTGTTCTCATAGATCTCCAGAAGCTCCTGCTTTGCAAGCTGATTGAGGGCCACAAGGGGCTGTCTCCAGACTTGTACCCTCCAGACCAGAAAAAGCTTGTGAAGCTGACGGTGTCCAAGTTGCAGCTGTTCTCTACCAAGATTAGGTTGATCTTCAGAAGCAACGCCCTTCTTAGGACAGGTTTGTTTCAACAAGCGGGCGCACACACGCACAGCAAAGCGGCAAAGCGAGTTAAAGTAAATAAATATCTTCGGATCCAGGATATTCATAGTCATAGTCATAGTCGGTGTTGGTATCTAGAGTCTGTAGTCAAACTTCAAGTTTAATCTTTTTTGAATGTTCCACAGGACTTGTTGGCAAGACGCAGTGACCTTGGCCAAGAACGTTCTTTCAGATGAGAAGAGCCAGGAGTTGGCCGCTGGCGTGCTGGACAGCTTGAAGAAGCTCAACTCCCTGCTTGCCTCGACTGACTGCTCACCGAACGAAGAGTTTGATCAGTTGGTTGAATCCTGCAAGCCTGCCCTTGACGTGGAGGCTGCCATGACCGAGGCAGACGCGGCCTCTGAGATTGGAAAGGGGATTCAAGCGTGCTTGAATGACTTGAGGGTGAAGGTGGAGGTTCCTTCAAAAGAGTCCTTGGCCAAGTTCACAAAGTGGTTGGAGACACAGTGGGTGGAGCAAGAATCAGGGACCACTGAGAGCACAACCACTCTGGAGGGGTTCCAAGTGGGGAGTGTAGATGAGTTCAAGGAGGTCACTCCCACTTTGCTCATTCAAGGCAGGATGGTGCAAAACAAACTCCTTTGGCTTGGCCAATATTTAGTACGTTAGAGTTTGGAGTCAGCGATTGTTATTTGGAGAAATTCATGTTTCATGAGTCATTCAGACATGGTCCATGGTCTGAATCCCACCAAAACTTATGCTCCTGCCATCAATTCCAACCCACACCTGGAGGAATGGTTTTCAGCCATGTGTTGAAACAGCAGCCCGAGATGTACATGCGCCTGATCGCTATGATCAAGATGCTTCAGGAGTATGGGAACTCGGATTTGACTTTGGCATCTTCCTGGAAGCTTGGCAAGGGTCTTCTGGAAGAAATGCACATCGCCAAGACCTCTCTGGGCAGTGGCGACCATGGCATTGAATGGGTCAGTGCCGGCGTGTCAGCCAGCGAGCGATTGAAAGACTTGGTGGTGAAAAGAGGGCCCAGCGTGGTACTTTCTCTCCTTGACCCAGAGGACAAGGATAAAATTCAACAAGCAAAAGCCCTGCTTTCTCAGATGGCTGGCATCACAGGTCGCCTTCACAGCATTCGGGCTGTGTTGGAAGAGCCTGAGGCTGGATGGGATCTCTACAGCAAGGACCCGCCCACGGATTTGATGGGGGTGTGCAAGCAATTGGTTGTCATTGTCAAGACTGTGGCCTTTGACTTTGAAGTCATTGATCAGGTTCGGCCAGGCACAAAAGACCAGGTCACACAGTACATGGGCAATGTGTACACTGTCTTGGGAGACTTTGTCAAGTCCACAGAGAAGCAGGTCGAACAGTGGGAAAAGCTGTTGCAACAATACAAGACACTCGACAGTGCTAGTCGTGGGTGTTTTCTTGGATGGTTCAGGGTTCAATGAGACTGTGAAGTGAAGACATGTTGAAATTTATGTTTATGTAGTCCCTTTAGCCAGTTTTGGTTTTGGGGACCCTTGAGCTGGATCTCGGTCTGAGATCTGACATCATCATTTTAATCAAATCATGTTCAGTCTGGCCGACTTAGGCCTGCGGTGGCAGCAGCTGAGATGTGGCAGCCAGAGAAGGTGGCAGAGGTCGGCTGGATGTTCAAGCCCAATCAGCCGCAGATCGACAATGACACCAAGGCTTTGCTGAACTTCCGAGACACCCTGCCTTCGCATCTGCCTTCAATGAAAGGCATCACCGCGTGCAAGGCTGGTATCAAGATGGATCCAAAGCTGAATGGATTGGCAAACACGATGCTGAAGATCCAATCCAAAGTTGAGGCTGGAACAGAAGTCTAGGTCCAGTTTCGAGGTTTGAGACTTTTTTGATATAGACAGAGACAGCATTTAATATAACTGACTGACTATAGATAGACAAATGATAGATGATTCATATATTATGACTGACACTGACACTGATATTAAGTAAGTAAGCCAGATCAGACCAAATCACATTTGTCATGTGAACATTTGACATTGTGACATTCACAAATTTCTAATCTGGTTGTTTGTCAGTTTGTCATGTCATTTATTAGGAAACAGGACGGACTACTGGACTATACCGGCTACTGACTCTGACTACTATTTTTCCTGTGCGTGGAAGACGCAGGAGTTGAATTCCGAGACAGCGACCGTCGTTGGCACCATGATGACTATGGAGGTCATTATCAACGAGGGCAATTACAAGGACAAGTTGGCAACTTCCAGGAAGGTGTGCTCGTTCCTGTCGAAAAAACTCGGCATGTCCAAGAACGACTTGTCACCTTTGCTGAAGAGCAAGTTTGATGGCTTGACCAACCCTAGCTCAGCCGTCAAGATTCTAGGATGGAATTTTCAATTTTCGGGTCCATTTCCAATTTGGAAAGCAGTCAGTGCTACAGATTCAATTTGGTTGAAGTTCAAGAGTTAACTATTGTCATAGTAGGGTCCGGTTCAACAGGCCTTGGAGTCTGGGGTGCAACTTTTGTTGATCCGACAGTTGTGAAACCCAACTCTGAGGAGCGAGGGGTCTGACAAGAATTCCAAAGCAGCCAAGAGGAAGAGTCCTACTGAGGAGGCTGCACCCAAGCCCAAAGCCAAGTCTGGCGGCAAGAAGGCCAAGAAGTGATTTAGATTGCAGAACATGGGATGGCTCCATGTGAGGTCAGATGCCACTCCGTTTGGCCGTGCACAACCCTCAAAAGAGAGGGCACATGCTCTTTGTTGGTGTTGGTGCCACAGGATCTGATCCGAATGAGTGATCATTGATCATAGTGTGGCACTTGGACAAAACAAGACTGACGCAGTGGGGCTGCGAAAAGTGTCGTGGGAGCATCCTCAGTGTATCATGTTCTGCATTAACTTAACTGCTCTTCGTATGCGCCTCATGTAGAGGCTGCATTAGCTAATAGTTTTCATATTATTTCAATTGTCAACTCCCAATTAGTTTCACAGATGTACTGCACTGTATTTGCAATTAGTTTCACATGTACTTGCAATTAGTTTTAGTCATTTGGCAGTTGGGGCAAATATTTGCAATTAGTTTCAACCCCTCCCCCCTATCCCACAGACAAAGAGGCCAACCCAGGCCCTAAGTTATGTCCATCGATTCATTCTGAATCTCTACAACTATAGTCTCACATCGTATGACATCTATGCAGCCTATGCATGTGTGATGTTGTCTTGTTGCACAATGTCACGTTTTGACACGCTTTTTTGGGAATGCTTGGCATCCCTTAGGTCCTTGGGCACAAACAAGTACAAACTGAAACTGTCTGCCTGTGATTGAACTCCTGCTTGACTGGAAGCTACATAGTTGCCACATACATGTGTGTGTGTGTCTATGCCAACACCCGTTCCTAGGGACCTTACCTTTACTACCTTTACTACTTACTCTATTGCACATGTTGTACAGTGCAAGCAGGGGAGTGGTGCGCAGTCTTGGAGTCACCATTCAACGAAGACATTCCTTGCACTGCGGTGATGTCCGGAAGGGACGCCTTCTGGACGTACCTGCTTTCAGGGACGGAGCTTTTGCCTTACTGATGCGCTCAGGGCCATTGACAGGTTTAGGTTCCAGCGCTCCAATCGCGTAATGTGATCTATAGGTTCTAAAGGGCTAAAGCTCACCGAGATCCACTCTGAATCTTGCTCCTTGGAGCATCTTTCTCAAGTGTGTGCGTTGGGGGGGTAGGTTAGTCGAGCGGCACGCGCCACCCACAAAGTAGCGTTCGCAAACCATGGGATGAGAATCGCTTCAGCTGGTCCTGAGTCGTCGAATCCCAAGTTTCGTTTGGCAAGGACGAGTGGTTCAGAGTATGGCACACAAACTCGTAGCAAGCCTGTAAGTCAACGTAGGTCTTGATACAGTACTACACTTCAGTCCATTTAAACCTTCACCTCACTTGGAGCATGTCTAAGGGAGAACGGCTATTGGGATCCCGGCCTTTGCGATTCTGAGCTTCTTCTGCTGTTTGCTTTCTTCTCCTCCTCCATTCCCAAGCACTTCATGAATTCAAAAATGGCTTCCAAATGTCGTTTGGGCAACGTGTTCCTCCAAATCATTTCAATCAACATGCAAAGTAATCTCTGCAAAACCTTTATGTATATATATATATATATTAAATGTTAGTAGGAACATGTGAAAATGAATCAGCCGTCTTTAAGAAAAAGCAATGTAAAAGCGAATGCTGCTGGCCTTGCCTGCAGTAATGGACTCCTGGGAAGTCAAGAATGCACGGGAGCCTCGCATTGCCGGTTTCAGCCGCGTGCGTTGAGCAGGGCCCAAAAGTCTAACATTATCCAGTGTTTTCTCATGTCCGCTTGTCCCACGGGTGCAATTGCCGCAACTTCTTTCCCGATTTTGCCATCTCTGCAGTGGCAAGAAGCTACTAGGTGGAAGCTATTGCTACTAGGGTGGAGGCCATCGCTACAGGAGCAAGAAGCTACTATATATTCACAAGCAAGTTTATGGTCTTCAGAATATCCGACGAATTTGACTCAATTTCAGCTGTCGGTTAAGCTGAGAGTCTCCAACTCATCAGGCCGGAATGTGCGCCCATCAAGCGATCTCCAGAGCAACCGCCTCAATTCCGGTCTCTTTTTGGCAATTCTCAACAAACGAAGACATCAGTGGCCCCCCAAGCTGGCACAGCCTATATATTCCCCAAAATGGAGATTCAACATATTCAAAAGCACGACTATGATAAGACTATGACTGGCCAATGCAAGGTCTCTAGAGACATGGCATGGGAGCTGGCCTTCTTTTTATACCATCCTTCCATTTGAGAAAACATGAGGAAACCAAAAAGGGGAGCCAGCATTCCTGCCTCCGAACAATGGCGGTGTGTGGTCCCAGATGCGAACAAGGCACTTCCACTGACCAAGCTGTAGACGTGCTGTCTGCTCGAGACGGCTGGTCCATCATGCTGTGGCATTGGTGGCTCCAGCAACGGTGCCGGCCTTGGACAGCCGGGCAAACCATGCCTAGTGGCATAGGCCAAGCAAGCGGTGAAAAGCATTGACCATCAAATGCACACTTCAATGCACACCAATCCAGCCCAAATAATAAAGCACAACAGCACAATCTGATAGTCTCTAACAGAATCTCTCAACATCTCTCAACCCTTCATACCTGTCCAGTAGATCAGCTACGTAGGTCTTCGGTCATGGTTGCTCTGAGAGACGGTATCGTAAAAAATGGTAAATTCACAACGTGCGCAAAACTTGTAGTGTCTTGCTTCTCGATCTTGTTCGCACATTTCCCCCCGCACTCCCAATGCGACTCGTTGCTCTTTGGGCGCGACGGGCTTCTTTGCAACTCTCGGACTCTCACCTAGCAAATCGATGACCGATGGGACATGCACGGTTGGAACAAGAAATTCGAGGCAAAGTTCGAGGGTTTTTGGTTCATGGATGAACATGGTACATCCTGCCAACTGACAGTTTTTGATCACAACTGGAGCAAGAACTCAAACAGTCTCTGGACCAAGAAGTTATATATTGCCACACCTTCTTCATCATGTTCTTCTTCCGGGGCTTCAGGAGCCATCGCAGGCGGTGCCTGAAATGTACCACTGCAGGAAAGGCTGATTCCGGCTGTGAGCCTTTGCAGTCTGAAGATTTGCATCTCATGGGAAGGTAGGGTGAGGGCCTGCATTGGCAAAACACAACTGCAACTTGTGCGACTGGGTCACTGAAAATGAAAGCTTGACACATGTTGACAATGAAAACACACCCCTTGCCCCTGGCCTGGATGCTGAAACCTTGGCAGAGGTGAAGCATTCAACAATATCATATGGCGGCAAGCGTAAGCACACCCAGCGATATGGTCAAAGCTGCTACTGAACAAGGCAATGGCTGAGGAACCCCGAACGGACATGCATTGCCAAGTAGCTTTCTTCGCCCTCCTCAATACACTCGTCCTTAGGACAAGGTCACTCCTTGTGGGGCGAGACGTGTGCTGGCTGCCCAAGCAAGAAAAGCTTGGGACTTCAATGTATCCTACAATAGACAATTTTTTGATGCAAAACTCACGCACGTCCAAATCTATCATATAGCGGACACATATTCCTATGTAGTTAGCGTTACATAACATTATTTTGATGATACATCATACATCTTATATACTAAATTTTTTGCAGCTCTTGAGCGAACATGAGAGAACCGCACTTTCTGCATTTGTCCAAGTGACGAATGCAGCAGATCTGTCAGGGTCGGTGTCCCAATCATATTGCCTCGTTCCAATTCCGATTCCAAAAGAAGACGCGGGGTGTTTGGCAAGGCACAACATTGCCGAACAAAAATAACTGCGTGTGAGAATTGGACCCATTCCACTCATTTTCACTCTAGGCAAACTGATCTGACCAACCAGGTTGGTTGAGTATGAACACGAAAAATGCTGCCTGCCACAATGGGAAGCATCTGAAACGGTGGTGCGTTGATAAATGATATTGGGTTGGCTATCACAGTTTTTCGCATAGAACATGACAAAATCACAGAGCGCATTTTATTGCATTTCCCACCTCATACGTTCCATCATGACATTGTCAGCACCCTTCGCCTGCAGTGCAATGTTCATCTTACTAAGGGTTTGAAACTGCAAAACTTGGCAACACTCTGCGGCACAGTTTCCTTGAAGAGTAAGAGGGCAAGGCATGAAAATTGAATATTCAAATTGTTCCCGGGCCCTTGCTACCACTTAGCCTTAAACGAGGCCGAAGTGCGACACATGTTATTTGAGAGGCTCATTAATGTAGTGCTCTTGACTTTTGACCCACAATTGACATGAAAGGATTGGCCTTCAAGTAGCCAATGAGAAAAAACAACAGGATTGATAACAGGGACGTTGGACAGGAGATGCTGGACAAATGCTTTTACTATGGTGCCAGAAGGCAAGAAACAAGGTTTCACGTCCTTTCGAATCCTTTCGGTCCCCCCGTATCCGTATGGGCAGACTCACACGAACTGTGCTCGGATATTTTTTTCTAGTGTTCAAAGATGTCGCCCTTTGTGGCGGTATATCCGTATATCCACTGGCACACTCTATTCCATAGCCTGGCATTCACAAATCCTTTGGATCGGTTCTTGAACTTCTGCATCCATCCATGATCACGACCACAGCCGACCCAGCTGTTGGATGCCAAAGATCATCTTCTTTTCAACAAACCAACGAGCGAATGTCACTGCCCCCCGTCCCACCCCCTCACATGTGAGTGAACAGAGACATGGTTCTGAACAACCAGGACAACAGTCACAAAAAACTAAAGGCCTCCCAGAGGCCCGTGTGGTCGTGACACCAAGCCAAACGTAAAAGCTCTAGGGCCACTTATAAGCGTTGCCAGGTGCTTTCAAAAAGCAAGCATTGTGATTGCAGGGACGGGTGAGGGAATTAAAAGCAGCATCAATAGAAAATTGTTCGACAGAGATCACAATGAGAAGACTTGATTTTGTGGTCCTTTACTTCTCCCCCGCCTGTCAGGTGAGGGTTGTTAAAGTTTATTTCAGCTGCCGTCGTTGTCGCAGTCGTCGTCCTCCTCCTCCTGCTCAACCGCGAGCTTCGGTGGGCAGTGTTCCCACCGGACCTCAACCGCGAGCTTCGGCTGGTAGCGTTCCCAGCCGGACCTCAACCACGAGCTTCGGCTGGCAGTGTTCCCCGCCGGACCTCAGCCGCAAGTCAGAAGATATGCCAGATAGCACGCCAGAAAGAATGTCAGAAGATACGCAGAAGATGTGCCAAAATATGCCAAATAGAGTGCCAGAAAGAATGCCAAAAGATATGCCAAATAGCATGCAAGAATGAATGCCAGAAGGTACGCCGGAAAGAGTGCCAGAAGATATGCCAGAAAGAATTGCAAAAGATATGCCAGAGTGTTTAGAAAGAATGCCAACAGATATGCCAGGAAAGAATGTCAGCAAATATGCCAGAGAGCATGTCAGAAGAGATGCCGGAAAGATCGTCAGAAGATATGCCGGAAATATATAATGTTAGTAATTTAAGAATGCCAGAAAGATTGTCAGCAAATATGCCAGAATGCGAGAAGACTCCGGATGGCAGTGTTTGCCGCCGGACCTAAACCGCGAGTTCTGGCTGGCAGTGTTCCCTGCCGGACCTCAACCGCGAGGTCCGCTTGGCAGTGTTCCCAGCCGGACCTCAACCAGCAGCTCAGGATGGCAGTGCCCCCCCAGACCTCAAACGCCAGCTCTTTGTAGATTACTATGTGTTCTCTGTACTGTCTTGTTGGGGTGGTCACTTGAAGTGCATCTGCTTTTTTGTTCCGCAAACACACAAGCACAATCACACAGTCACAAGCACACAATGTCAAGCACACAGTCACAAACGCACAGCCACAACACACAACAACAAACACACAAGCATAATCACAAGCACAAACACAACCACGAACACACAGGCACAAACACACTGCAGCCGCAACCGCAACACGCAGCCGCAGCAAACAGCCACAAATGCAGCCGCAAACAAACAACCGCAAACGCAACCACAAACACCCAACCGCAACCACAACCACAAAGGCACACTTGCAGCACACAACCACAACACGCAGCCACAGCACACAAACACAACACACAAACACAATCACAGCACACAACCCGAGGACCCACAAACAAAGTCGAGAACCACAAAACTCATGACCATGGCAACATGCTCCTCACCATAGCATGAAGACAAATGATTGAAATGTCATGGTGGGGATCACTCGAAGTAGAGTAGCTATTTTTTTGATCCAAATGCCGCAGGGAGCCCAGTCCGCAAACCCAACCAAAGGAGGCAATACTCAAGAGCAGTTCATATCTTGAAGAAGGGGCAACCACAAAGCTCCAACATATATAATGCATATCAGCGTATGTATATATATATATATTTATACACAAGCGATCACAAGCGTGCATACGTCATTCTTACGCGAGGGGTTTGTGCAAAATATGCGAATTGCTATGAAATGTGGGGCAAGCAAATGGCTATTTGTCTCGAGAAAGCTGTTCAAAAGCACGTATTTAAGGAAAGGGACATGAATCCAAGTCACGAAAAGGATGTATGGGCCGAAAACTGCGTCGGGAAGGTTCTCCATCGAATTAATCCTTGGGCAAAATAGGCGTTCCCAAGCTTTTCCAAGCGACAAGACCCGCAAGTGCAGTTGACCCAGCAGTTGACTATAACTATTCTGTTTTAAAAAGAACCTCACGCCCCCCATGTACACGACAGAGTCTGAGAAAGGCTCCACTATATACCCAATTTGGTAACGTTTTCGTCCAAGTTTCCCTGGTGGAGGTAAAACGGCATTGGCCCGTGTGGCTGAGCCCTTGGGAGCACTCTTCGCTTCTTCAGCGCAGCTTCGTACCAAAACCTTGGGTGGAAAGACTCCATGTCCCTCCATTTTAACAGGAGAAACGCAGTGCGTAAGGGTGAGTGGCTGAACAAACACTCACAAGTATGACCTGAACACCAAAACAAAACCTCACTTGCACAGAAACGATCATGTTGCAGCGGTGTTCAAAGCGTGGACCAGCTGAAAACAGCTATAAAATGGGCTCGTGGGATGCACGTCCAACAGCCAATAGGTCTCAACTTGGATCATCCTTCCAACTTGATCCTTCCAAGTTAAGAATTGTTCAGTTCCAAAGTGCTCCTTTCAACTTGTTCTGTATAAACTCTGAGATCCAAGACAGGCCCAAACAAGTGATTGATTGTTCATGTGCTTGGAATTTGTTGTTCGGGGATGGTTCTGGGGTAAAATCCTGATGCACGAGGGGAGGTTACCATAGCATCAACATGGTGCCCTTTCATGTACAAGGGACCGGCGGTGACACCAAAGGGACCGGCCAACGTTGCCACAAAAACCATGTCCCATCTTCTACTCCAACAAGTTGCAGACATGCGCTTCCGATCTGAGCTGAACCTGACGGACAACGCCGCCAAAGCAATCTCATCACATTTTCATCGCACAATCAGGTAGAAACGTATCATCGATACTTGATACAGTATATTGATATATAGAGAAAGTAATGTTGTATATAAAAACTATATATATATGTATCTGTATATGGGTCTGAATTCCCAGGCCCTCCAAGGCGGTCACTGCCGCTACAGCCGATCAAGAAATACAACTGATGGACTCTCCAAACCACCTGGGGTTACGTTTCATGGAACGGAAGCAGCGGCGGCCAAAGCAATCCCGCATCGCATTTAGAAGTGGCACCGAACATACCGAACCAGGTTAATGACACACGTGAGAAAGTATCAGTATCCCATACATTAAGAACTTGGTGCGACCATGGCGCTCATTGCAAATCAGCACTTGAAAGAACACCTCCGCAATTCTGTGGAGCACAAGTTACACGCATCTATTTTCACAAGCGACCAATACACCCAGGGCTCAGGCAGCTGGACGTATTGATCCAAACAAGTAAGCAAACTTGTCTACTTTGTCTGATTTTCTCGACGAAGTGGTGTCAGCCTGCTGTCCTCGTACATTTGCAGTAATCTGATTGCCCTGTCCTGAGTAGAGACAAGCACAACCACTGGACTTAGCTTTGTGGGCTTTGCTGGAGTCGCATACCTAGCATCTTGTTGCAACCCTGTTCCCGGGTAGTTTACACCATATCGCATCAAGAAACACGAACAGCCAATACAGCCAATACATATATATATATATGAATAGTTGCTGGCAAACAAACCCACATCAACAACAGAGTGTGTATATTGTAGCTGCATGTCCATCTTTGCCCAGCATCGTTTTCGAAAAAAGAAACCAAAATCCTTCGCCATTGCCAAAAGCGCTTCCTGAAGCCGGATGCGACTGTTTCCCAACGTTGCTCGGGTATCTTGAGTGTTGGGCCGTTGGGCAAGAAGAAATGATGGGTGAGCAGCACAAGTAAATACTGTTGACATAGAATTAAGTAACCACCCCCTATTAATCAATCCCAGCTCGACCCCCCCAATACTAATCTAATTTAAAACCTAGATTTCCACCTTGGCATCTCCTGAATAACTTTTTTCCTGGGCAGAAACCTTCCCCTATTAATCAATCCCAGCTGCCCCCAGAAAAAAGAATATGGCTTACTATTTATAATATATATATATACATTAAGTATTCTGGTCCAAGGTGAAATTGATCTTCATTCTCATCCATCATTGTCTTTCACTATCATCCTCCTTCTGCTCATCCTGCTTTTTCTTATCATCCTTCCCTGTTAAAAACCAAAAAATGCTAGCAACATTCTTTCATGTTCCCTTATGAAAACTCTATCAACATCTTAATCTTAAGGTTGTCAAGCTCGCAGAGCATACCCCTCACACAGGCCCTACCACCCCCTAATAGTAGGGACCCCTCCCCCTATTAATCAAGCCCACCCTCTGGCCTCCATCTTGTTTTCCATCTCTTTCATCCTGCAATCCTCCTTCTTTTCCCAATCATCCCAATCAAAGAAATAATCTTGTCTTCCAATCTCGTCCATCTCTTTCCTAATCATCTCAATCCCAATCTTTCCCAATCTTGTCATCATCTCATCATCCATCATCAGGTCATTATCTTTATTAAGGTGATGTGGTCTCCAATACCTCCAATCTCAAACCTTGTTGACCTTGAAGGGGAAGGGGGGGGGGCGTTTATTAATCCTACGTTGAGATTAAAAATAAATGAAGCAAACATACATTGTGTTGCACCGCAGCTTCATACAATGCCCTATCATGCCCACAGCAAACACCTACTGTAATTGGAACTTTCTTTGCGGATTGAGTGGATCGTGATTCACCGCTGGTGTGTATTCACCGCTCGAGTGTGGCAGGGTCTTGCTGCGTTGAGCCAGCATTGCCGGTGAGGTGTGTTGAGGTGCGATGAACGGTGGAAGTGAGGCTTCGAGCGAGTTCATCCGTCAAGTGGTGCAGTGAGCAGGGCCGCAGTCCTCTTGATCTTTGCCACAAGCATCCATGCCACTCTTGGTCCAACTATTTCCCACTATGGGGGCTGAACCTGGGGAATCAATGCTAGCTGCTGAAGCTGCCATTGTCGCCCGGCCAGAAGCTTGAGCGGCGGACTTTGACGATCGATCAAACGAGGAACAACCAGGATAAAGAATTGATTTATCAATACCCCGCTTCGCAGCAGGAACGCAGTGTAGCTTTGACATGCGACTTTAACCCTTTGGAAACAATCTTTCCCCTTTACCGTTTAATTGAACTCACTCAGTCCTCATCTGGAGATGGGCTGCGGAATTGAGTACCTTAGCGGCGAGAAAGTTCGTGCGATGCGCGGCTCTCTCTCTCTCTCTGTCTGTGTCAATGTCAGCACAGAAGGAATATCTACTAGGAGCAAATGGCATCGCTACTAGGAGCAAAGGGCATCGCTACTAGGGGCTCCTGGCCTTACTACTAGGAACAATGTTTGCTACTTGAAAAAAAATATAGATAAAATGGTACATATTCCTGCTGTGCTGACATTCAGGATGAATACTTGCTGTAATTTTCTGACTTGAGGCCAAGGTACTCTCAGCTTCTTCCAACAAAGCCAGCCGCGTCTGGATCTCACTTTCCAAGTGCAAATGTTGCATTCCGGGGTCGCTGGCCCTGACCTGTGCGCACAATGGGTTGCAAGCGGAAGTATTTTGCAAGTAAGCACGCACAATCAAAAAAATAACATGTCGTCAAAGCACGGAAAACAAAGACATCAGGTTCACGATAGCCAAGGGGCTGCATCCACATCTTGCATCAACAGCGGCACCTCTGCACTCCTTGTGGCCCTGGTGTGGCGAGCTTGTGCCGTGTGGCAGCGTAGACCGAACAATTAGGTCACCGTGCAGTTTTGGCCCGCTTGACGCCTTATTACTACAACACTGCTTCAGTGAAATTGTGATCACGTATTATGTGTCCCAATAGGTTGGACAATTTGAACATGAAATGATGAAATGAGTAACAATAACATGGCTGGGAGTTTCCTCTACCAGGTGCTGTGGCCCATGCGGTAGGTTTGTTGTAGTTTGCTTGGTTCAATTTTCGTTGAATATCAGGTCACCTAAGGACTAGGGCCTAGAGGCAATTGCTTGTCAAATTGTGGCAGTTCCATGAGTAGGTTATTGTGTGTGATTTGTGGGAATTTTGCAAAAAAGAAGATTTCTCCAGGTCAAGGGACAAAAATCTGCAGTGTCTTTTCAACATGTCTGGCAGTTCCCTTGGTTCAAAAAAACATGTGGCAGGTCAAGGGGCAAATGTTGGTTGATATTGGTCCAAACTTGAGGATTTGTGGCAGTTCACTTTGTCGGCGACTATTGGTTAATGTGTTCAAATCTGAGGTAGCTTCTTTGGTGCAAATTTGAGGATTTGTGACTGTTCTTCTAGTTCTTCCAGTACTAAAGGAATCGTGCAAAAGCCCGGGAGTGGCAAGGTCGCCATGTTGGAGGTGGGCAGCACTCAAATGGTTTTGGTGCCGACCATGAGATACTGTATGGCGTGAAAGGTGCGCACAGCTTGTCCATGCACAGTGACTTCTTTGGTTTCATGCTGAAACACACTGCAGCACTTGGCTCCTCTTGCTCTCACCCTGCATCCTCTCTGGCATTGCAGCATGACAAAGCGTTAGGCACCTCAGTGCTGCTAGAGACCGCAATGAATGCCTATGAATGTCGCCAACAACATCGCCGCGAAGAAATCAGCAAAGTTGCTCTTGCCTTCGTGTGACAGTTTAAACGATAGAAAGATCGAGCGCGCAAGGTAATTACAAAAGAGATCCTTGATGATCCTTGCAAAACATCGTTAACAATATCTGAGCGGGAGCTTCTGTGGGGGCCGACACGGACGGAGAGGGTTGCTGCTGTCCATCAAATTGCAGCAGCAATTGATTGTTTGGAGAATTCATCGAATCAAAATGACACCTCTCTCTATGATGTTCACTGCCTCCTGGGATTGAGACATGTTGAGACTTGAGACATATACAGTGCAACCACTGACAAAAATAATCAAATTATATACAATCTTGCATCCAGCAGACTCGGAACCAACCAATCTAGAACAAGTTGACTAATGACAAGCCTAAATGTGCCGAAGGCACAGAAAGAAATTTTCCAAGAGTGTGTTCTCCGATAGTCGAATGTTGCCTTTGGCGTCTGTGGGGTCTGAATCGAAAGGAGCCGTCCACAGCGCAGGGCCTTGGAGCAAGGTTGAGAAGCTACCACGGAAAACCTAGCAAAGTCACTACAGGTCCAGAAAATCAAAAAAATAGAAGTGACTTGCGTATGTCGAATTGTTTTGTTCTCACCAGAACTTTGATTGCCAGCTTGGAAGAGATTTTGGATGTTTGACACAAGGAATGACAAACTGTTTCCTGTTGGCCAACTGAGAATATTGTGACGGCAAGTGGGTTTAAGGTCCTACACTCCATACACTCCTAAACGCAACTAAATAATTATGCTAAAAGACTGCTGACACATTATCCAGCTCACAACATGGAATCAAGCTATCATACTGTCATACTCCATTAAACAGCACCCACAGGATAGATGCCGGATTGCAGTTTCTGCTAAGCATGCTGAAGTTGGTTGTCACAATGATGTCGAATGTTGACTTGAACTGGATGATGGCATCGGTCCCAAACAAACTACAAATGAACCCGGCCAGGAAGCAACACAAATTCACCTGCATAAGTCAAAACCAAAACAACAAAGCAACCAGCTTGCATGAAGGTGTCGGTTCGCAAAGCAGCAAGGAGCATGCGGATGGCAAAATAAAACCAAACATGAGATGACATATGCCGTGGTGAGATTGGAATACATTGCATTAATTTGCTGTGCATGCACTACTATGCACTACTATATGCCAGCGATGGATGTGCTGGGTTCTAGCGCATGAGCGCACCACTGGGCAGCTCATGAATGGCGACAAGGCACTCAAGGGCAAGCAAACGCTCCGGGGAGGAAGTCTTTCAACATGGTCGGTTGGAACACCAAAGGCGTCACCGTTGAGGCTTGCATCCTCTCCCGCATCGTTCGAATCATCTGGACAGTCAGACCAGCAGCCATAGGTTTGGCCATCCACCCAGCAGGCTTTAAAGCACATCTCGTTCTGTGTAAGCGTTCCAGTCTTGTCCGAAAGGACAAAGTCTACTTGTCCCAAGTCTTCACAGAGTCCAGAGCTTTGAACCTTGCAGCATGTATCATCACGCTTATGATACATGCTGTCATCTGATTCCATGATGAAGGCTTGAAGTGCACGCACCAAGTCGGTCGTCATATACAAACTGATGGGTATCAAGTTGTTGTACCCAATGAGGAAGGTCAGGATGGCCATGTAGGGATTGTCCTGACAAGTCGCAACACATATATAACCCCCAGAGAGCACATGTCAAAGAGTGGAATTGAGCTAGGGACACAACCCGTTATCAGCCATTCAAAGTTACAGGATGAAAAAGCAGCTCCTGCAGATCATCTCCACCGGTCAATGGCCAAACCCAAGCGAGGTTCTTGTAGCCCCTCTCGTTTGAGATGAGGTAAGCCCTCGCAGCTGCCTCGGAATGCGCAACACATTGAGAAACAAACTGGGAAATCAAAATCAAACTTGGCCAAGTCGGGCGAGTGCTTCACACGCAAGTCGACCAAGCAGCAACTGCAAAACTTTGCTGTTGCTCGAGCATTGTATACGTTGTATACAAACAAGATAAGTGCATCACTGCATCACCATTTCTGACTATTATTGGAATGCAGGTTTGCCCTGGGCAGTCTAGCTCGTAGCAGGTGATATTCAACATGTGTCACATGGCAGTATAGTAATTTTTTTTTTTAAATTGGACAAGGTTGAGCTGAAGCAACCATGGTTCGCCGTAGCCTCTGTGACACAGAATCCAGGGCATTCACTACGGTAATTGAGGGCATCCGAAAGCCTTCCAACGTTTGACGTTTTCAGCTCTCTACATCAGCGCAGATGTGTGGTAACTTTGCAACCCTACAGCCGCCGACATCTCAGTCGATTAGTCTGAGACACACAGCCGATGGAAATCACGAATAGTAGAAGGAAAACGATGATCAGCAGCTTGTTTGCTAGCTGCTCCACCTGCTCAAACAATGCAATTCTGAGAAACGTATGAACTGCAAGTCTGCATGCACAATGTCTATATTAAAGCAAAAAACAAATCACACATCACAAGGCCTAAGACACGACAAGGTAAATTGTCTCAGGCACACCAGTGCCCGCTGCAATGCTAACACGCGGTGAATGTGCATGATGCGAGGCAGTCATCATTCGGGTTGGGCCTGGGATCTCTTGCTTGTCAACGATTGGGACGAGTTCCTAACCACCTTGGTATCCACTCCTGTGTACCTCAGAGCAACACTCAGGCAGTCACCCGGAATTACTCTCACAGTACTTCCAAAGCGCTGAGGCGGCCAAAAGGCACGACCAGGCCAATCACATGATTAGTATTTCGGAGCGTAGAGCCGCGCAGCAGGAAGTTTTTCAAGTTCTTAGTGACAGCCGAGCCATCGAAATTGAATAAGCCAAGTACAGTAAATCTAGGCATGTGGGTACTGACGTAATGACTGTAAACTTTCCCGTGTGGCTCTACTTCACACCGTGCCTCAAACGTGCTCAGTCAAACACGTCATGGCTATGGCTAAAGGGAACGGTATGGTATGGGTCAATCGCTTGATTGTAGGCCCAAGCCAAGTCCAAAGCTACATTCAATGCCTGCATCTGCCAAGGGTCGACATGCACACCTCTCGGGTAGCCCTTGAGGTAGATACAGCCATCAAATTTATTGACCATCTGATTTGGCAAGTCTGCTTCCATGTGGCCTGCAGCACAGGCGAGTGGCTTTCTTACATCTGTGTCGTTTCGGGTGAAGGTTGATGACACAGGCTGGGTCGGCTAGGTAGCCGGCAACTCATTTTGAAACCCCCCATTTACACAAACTTTAACCTCTGGAAAATCTTTTGTTGCCCCAACTTACGACGTCTCAGGCTCTGTCTCTCAGCTTGGCACATCAAGCAGGGCACCTTCCACACTGTGTACCGAGGAGTTGCGGATCATGTGTTGGGTTTCCTCCACAGCATACTTTGGCTTTAAGGAGGACTCCCCGTCCAATTGCGCAGTATCCACAAAGGCGCCGCCACCTGTGCGGAAGGATCCAATACAATCCAGTATATTTTGAGTGCTTTCACTTCTCAAAGCCCAAACGTTGCGACAGCACAACCGATATGGTATATATAATTTATGTAGATTGTAGTACAAACAAAACACATACATAACATATTGATTTTGTAGTATACTACATTTGAATACACGCATGCTGTATATACAATATGTGTCGAACTGTTACTGAGTCCCATCGTTGGAGTAGTTTTCATCGATGCTGTAATTACATCGAAGTAATGCATAACCTTGCGGGGATCTTCCTGCGCTGGCATATCAGCTCTCCCACATGACCCTCACCTGGACTTGAGAACACCAATAGGAGATCTGCAGGTACCGGCTGGTCCCGAGCGATTTTGACGAAGCTGCCCACTCTGACCTCTGACCACCTGAGTCTTCACAAAGATCGGACGGACCCAAGTTTCTGTGACCTGTGCGGACTCAAAAGTTTAAGAACCCAGAACTTCGCAATGCTCCTTCAGAAGGCTGCGATGAACAAACCCAGCCAGCGGCGGCCTCCAACCTACTAGCGATGGCCTTCAACCTAATGCGAGGACCGGATAAATAGACCCCCGCCTCGCCACCCCTGTTTGCAGCTTTGCATCCTATTAACACCTGTCTGGTTTCATCTCGTATGTGCATTCATGACTCACGTGTTTGGCTCAAGCCTGGTAACAAACCGCTTGCTTTCGTGTGCCATAGCACTTGACCGTGACCGAGCTTCTGTTTGCACTTGTCCGCTGGACCGCTCTCAAGACAGTGTCTGTCCCCAGGAACTTCCACTGCACGTGCCAACCCCCACGTGGAGCTCTAGAAGGTCTTGAAGGTCTGAGGTACCATTCATGAGGTCCACCTCCCCTGAAAAATCTGCTACGGGAGTAGAAGGAGTAGTAGTAGTAGTCGTCGTCGTCGTGGTGGTGCTAGTGGTGGTGGTGGTGGTGGTGGTGGTAGTGGTGGTGCTAGTCGTCGACGTCGTCGTCGCCGTGGTAGTGGTAGCGGTGGTAGTAGTAACCCCCTTCATTGTTGGGTTGGATGCTTTTAGAGGCATTCTATACACTTTGGGCCCTATAAATGCCTAGAGGGGGCAAAAAAAGACTCCAAACTATAAAAGGGGGTTGTGGATTCTGAGCATTCAACACTAACATGTTTAAAAAGCACAGGCCAAAATAATGCCCATGATGGGTTCAGCATGGAACATATACAAGAACACACACTGTCTATATAATGCCACGTGTGGGTGCAAGCACAAAAAGAAGTCGAACGGCAAGCCACAATTTCAAAAATATTGTTGTAGTGGATACAAACGAAACCATGTTGTTTATGGTGGGTACTGTACTCATCAACTCATCTAAGAGAAAAAACAGTTGCCTACAAAATGCACTGACCAGGTGCCAGTATCATTAAAAAAAGCATCCTGCTATAAAATGCCCCCTTGACCCTAACAGCCTCAAAATCACTCAAGTTTATAACATGCAAAAATGGACCTCGTACCTGCAAAACCTTCAAACAAACACCAAGATTCAGAGTGTGCACCGCATGGGTGCCCTATAAAATGAGGTCCAAAATTGGCATAATATAGCACAAATGGATCGGCATTTTATAGGCGAACACCGGTGGGGGTAGTACTAGTAGTAGTTGTTGTTGTTGTTGTTGTTGACCTTGTTGTGCGGGCTCGGATTAACTGGGGGGTGTTCTGGTGCCCAACTCGGTGATTGAGAGGGAAATCAGTCACCACCACTACTTTAAATTTGGCAATTTTCCGAGGCTTTGTGGGCTCGGATTAATTAGGGGAGGTTAGGTTTATTAATCCTGTGTTTGCATGAATAGCGATGGCCTCCAACCTATTAGCGATGCCCTCGCTAGCCGCTAACCTAATAGCGATGGCGTATAAATGCATGCGTGTGTTTCTTTTGAGCTGCTATTATCCGTGACCGCCTTCCCATCAAGAATTCCCGAAACTGTGTGCCTTGCACGTGTACAAACTGGCAAAAGGAGGATGTTGCCGAAATTGGTCAAAATTGCTTCTTCTCTCCCTGAAATGGTAACATTTCAAGTATGCGTGTCAGTTCAATCAGGTCCCTTTACCCAAACTTTGCCTCAATTTTTGTGTTTGTATTTTTGGTAATTGTGTGCCCTTCAACCCATCAGCATATATTGCTAAGGGATCTCGTAAGTTGATGAATATCCCTCCGCACGGAGGTCACCTTCCCTTTAAGGCCCTGCTATGAAAGGAACCATTTCAAGTTTCAGATGTTGGATCTAAAAGCAGGACACTCACGATGCATCACAAACTTCATCAATCTTCTACATTCTACACGACATGTTATGCAAACTGGATGCTCAATTGAGACCTTGTTCAAGAGAGGTTGAATCCGAGACAGTTCCTATGAATCCAGAGAGTTTCAAAGCTCTTGCACTTGTCGAACCCTTTTTTTTATATACAATTTTTGTATATCTACCCACCCACTCCAAGGAGCTTGATGCTTGCATATGGATTTTGGCCATCACCGCCAGTAAAGACTTTCACCACCTGATTGTTCACCTTGGACGCCGCCCAGAACAAGGTAGAGACTGAAAAGGGTTCTTCCAAGCTCGCACTCTTACTCCTTTAGTAATTAGGTTGGAGGCCATCGCTATTAATTAGGTTGGAGGGCATCGCTAGTTCTTCCAAGCTCTTACTCCTTCATTTTCTTTCCACGTCCTGGCTTTCCTTTGTCCCCGTCAGCTTCAATACCGAGTGGCTCGGCAATCGTCCCGCCAACGCTTTAAGTCCTGCCACGAAACAAGAAGGACTAATGAAGTTCGTGCGACGAAAAGGATGTCAAAAAGGAAAATGAAGTGCATGAAGTTTGAAGAGGAAAATTAAGTTCATGGAACAACTGATGACACCAGTACGACATGCGTATGTATATATAGAGACCTTGCTGATCCGACAGTCATTACCCCGCACCCATCCCACCCCCCGGCCGGAAGCGAACGTCATCGTTGACGTGACGGGCGCGCGACAGGTGCTGTCACCACTAAAGATGGACTCTTCTCAACTAGAAATCTGAAGGCGATGTGCAAGTGACCACGTGGACGCCCCGTCGGCGGTCCTCGTAGGCATCCTTGCAGAAAGTGACGAAAAGCACCCCACACAAGGGAACTAATGTTGCCCAAGACGTTGTGGGTGAGATCCTGGGCGGTTTCCATCCCACATCCACTCCAGCGATCTGTACAAGGTTGTCACCAAAAAGAAACAATCAAGGGAAAAGGATGGAAAAGACATAAATAATACAAAACAATGTTTTGGCTTGGGACTCACAGGATGGGAGTCAGGGACTTGCCAAGGCGCTTGAATGGCAACATCTGCAGGGTCGAGACGATCAGGAACCAAATGTTTGCCACGCGGTGGAACTGTTCAAACCTTGAACGTTGGCCCATGAGAAACCGTATTGCTTCCAAGTCCCGCCAATTGCAAGCACAGCCGTCTTCCGGTCAAATGAACACACAAACACACAGTCACTCTGCCAAGAGGCAAATTCAAAGGAACTATGCTCCACAGCTTATACCGAGTCGTGGAGACCTCAGCATGGCGACTCCGTGACACAGAAGAGGGCTCGACTAGCATCAGGATGAATTAAACTGAGCTCTTTCAAGATTTATCAAATGTACGATGTACGAGGACTACTCATCAGGCTCTCTGAGTGCTCAAAGCATGGTTCCAAGCACACGAGGGAGCAAGCACATGCAAGCACCGCTGGATACCGCTGGCGATCGGTGCAATCAGTTAAACCGGAAGTCCTGTTCCCCGCAAAGTCTAAGGCGAAGACATAGTTGCTTGGAAATATTTGCCGCTTGGCCAATCCACCAAATTCAATCCGCCTGCACCAATTGGGCTCTTGTTGGACTGATGGCGCGATTGAGGCTGTCACGTGGTGGCGGCCAGGTGAACCATATTGTGTTGCAGGTGCGGCGGCAGTTGTGGTCTTGAAAGTGGATGAAATTGTGTGACACTGATGCCACGGAATACAAGAAGCGCACTGGCTTCGTAGAACTAAAGGACCCAATGACGGCATATAAAGATGCATACTAATATACACAGAAGGATGTTCACATTCAGCATGTGGCACTATGCCACCAATAGTGCATCACACTTTACCCACCTGTACCCAGTCTGTTTGAATGAATTATTCTTGATTGGACAACTGCATATATGCAAGCTATATGCCATATGCATATATGATTTGTGTACTGATATATGATATATGTTCATCATTGAAGGGTCCTTCAAAATGCGGATGTCACATCTATGCCTCCTTGCTGCAGGTACGGAGCGCCCGGCCTTCTTCCCTTCTCAAATCGGGCAGTGCTGATTGCACTTGCCTGTGGTGTATTCGGATCGTCCTCCATGTTGTAGAAACTGAGCCTGTGAATCTGCCAAAAGGCCAAGCAACACAGCAACCGCTGCGACATTCAATCATTTAATTTGCCTACCTACATGCTACTGCTCCAAAGAACCTTGAGTGTTCCAAGGGTGTTGGCAAACGCGTCACACCACACCACCATTCTTGTCTGGCTTTCTGGGCAAATCCTTCTGCCGTGCCGGTGATTGACAATTTTTGGTACACTTTTTTTTGCCGCCAGCCAACGGTTGACCACGATCCCGTCAGTGACGCTGGTGACCCCATGGTTCCGCGGCCTGCAAGTCACACTTTTGCGGTTGCAGGCATGCCATGGCCCAACCCCCGTTCGGGGGAGAGCTCTTTGAGCCTTCAATCTGAATCCGTCCGGGCCGTGCTCAACACATCAAGGTTCCTCTCGCTCTGCTCTAAACTGGTGAAGCAGGACAGTCACTGTGTGCAGTCTTCCGAGCCGTTGTCTTGTTGCTCTTTTAGGGTTTCTTTCTCCTAACTTCTATTTCTCAACAGCTCCAAATTATGGTTATTTCCATCTCAAGAGGCCTTTGAGGAAGGTACTAGGAGCAAAGGGCATCGCTGACAAGGACGCTATTAGGGGCTCCTGGCCTTACTACTAGGAACAAGAAGCTACTAGGAGCAGAGGCCTCCTACCTTCCATCACCGATCCCACCCGTGCTCCCCTGCGTCAGCCACTTCCTGGGAGAAAGAAAGCGGCGAATGCCGGAGTCAGCCCCTTTGTTCCTAGTAGCTTCTAGCTACTAGTAGTAAGGCCAGGAGCTACTAGTAGCTTCTTGCTCCTAGCAATGCCCTTTGTTCCTAGTAGCTTCTTGATCCTTCAGCGATGCGATCCTTCAACGGCCAACGAAACAGCGGCGTGACTGGCTCGCACGTCGATCGCGTCTTTGTGTCAGACTTCCCACACCCCTGGTCAACGCCCATCAAACATGGTCAACTTTTTCCCAGTTCCATAGAACAAACCGTCCGATTCTGGGGCTCCATGCGGCTACCGCCATTGGTCTTAGCAAGCATGCTATGAAGGTGAGATGACACAGGTGACGGGGTCAAGCAGAAGCAGGACTTCTGATTGGTGACCACTCACTAGCAGGAGGCTCTTTGTTGACCATTCAACAACCATGGCCACCTTCTGAATATATATAATCATCATCTTCTAGATGCATCTTGCCGAGTTAGGTGCTCACAATATGATGGTCTGATGCAATTGCCCTCAGAAATCCCAGCAAGCAAACCGCACAAAAAACTACAAAAGACCACATGTGATCGCAGCCGCTCAAGGTACAAAAGGAGGTCTTCCAAATGTCTCCAGTCTGGCAATTCAATTGAGAAAAACATACCTCTACCACTACCACCAAAAACTCAGCTCACAGTAGCACGGGCAATCCTTGGCACAGTGCAGTGAGAGTTGTGGGCCAAGGTGCGCTGGAGCAACACGTCACCAGTTGCAACGTCCACCAGCGCCCCTAGCTACTGCGAATTCGAGCCTATTCACCATGATTGGGCTTGCACCTTCATATCTGTCATGTGACATGTGTCATGTCCCTTTTGGAGATTGCTTCCTGAACTCTTGGTTGGACTCGAGCTCTTGACTGATGACCAAGCCCGGCCAAGCCCTTTCATGGACTGAATGAACTATCTGAATTGTAAGAATCAAGAACTCTTCTTAAAGTACCACCCCACCAAGCCACCAAAACAAACAAACTCCGTCTGTGTCTTTATCAATTTTCCAGCTTGCAGCATCCTTGGACTTTCTCAAAACCGGCGCATGTTTCCTTTGCTGGGATCTGCGGCTCTGTCAACGTCGGTGAAACATTCAAAACCACACCGCTACAGAACTCCGACTTGTCACTTGAAGACACTTCCGCACAATGCAAAGGCCTCCGCGAAGAACAACCAAGTCGGAACATTGGAGCAAGTCGGGTCCTTAGAACTCTTTGGTCGTCTTGCACCATACGGTCGTCTTGGCACTTCGTGATGCATGGTAGTCTTCGATGCAATGCCGCCTTGGACACCTTGGGCGTGGCGTTGGGTAGACTTGAGGAATGTGCTGCACACTTGGAGGACTTTTACGGTAATAATTCGCTCTGGAAAGTTGATTCCACTTAGCTGTTGGATTCTGCAGACAACGCTTTGTCAACCGAAAGGCCAACGACAATAGCTTGCAAGCGCTCTCCCTTGTTGGGTATCGAATAACTGTGCTTCGTAGCAGCAGGAAGTGGCATCACTGGGATGCCCACTTGATCAACACACCAACAGAGCAATCCTGCAAACTGCGATGCTGCAACACACGCTACACAGCTTGATTTGGAATCAAGCAGTCAAGCAGTTTATCATACCTCACACTCTGACAACTCGCAAATGACCACGTTGGGTCTTTTCTTTTCCGCTGATTGAAGCTAAATACCTCAGCGTACGTTACGGGGCACATTGGCTTCCCAGTGTTCGTCATGGGCCAAGTTTCGCAAACTGGGCAGATGCATGAGCTGCATAAATCCCGAGCCGGCTGGCTCCCATGTCACCACGAGAACACATGCTTCAAGCAAAGAGGGCAAAAACCTCGGGAGCCCTATTGACAGAAATTGATTGCATTGGGCACTTCATCTGCTGCAGGTGAATGTCACCTGCTACATTCTCGAAGCATGCCCTGCGGTCACAGTGCTTGTGAAACGTTTGAAGTGAAACACGAGACTTAACACGCTCAAACATTGCAAAACATAGTTTGTTTTGCAATTATGGAGGCAAATCTCATTTTCAGGATCACTACGGGCCAATGCTGCCAAATCAGTCGCATTTTCGGAAGCACTCCAGTTTTGATGGTCCGAGAGCTTCCTGGCAAGATTGCCCGTCACCATGCTATCTTCAACATTTCAAGTGCTGCAAAGGTCAAGCTTTTTGTTAATTTCTAGTTGAAACGAACAACACATTTCAGCCGCAGAAAAAAAAACTGAGTACAAACTTCAAGCCGCGGAGAAAACTAGTATAAACAAAGTTCATTTGACATGATGATTTGTTAGGTGGCGCTTATAATGGACTTACATCGTTCTGCAGCCGCCTTCTTTTATATAACCTCACTCCAGTGACCTTCTTTTGCATTTGGAATGGCCATTTGGCTTTGAAAAGCAAATGCACATAAACTGCATCGTCCAACACGATTCACATCGATGGTGCAGCAGCCAAGTGGGGAAGTGAGTGGCGTTGCGTAGTGAGTGGCTTTGCATGTTACTATATTATAGTTGCTCAGTTAAGACCATACCTTGCCACATGTGCTTGAATTGACACAAGGCATGAAATCAACTACTAGTGTAGGAAACAGTGCAACATAGCATTATATATATATATGTATATGCTACACTATACTGTATTCACCTGTAGTATTCCGCAGGGTATCTTTAAGCAAACTTTGCCGAAGGGTATTAATTATTCAGGATATCTATTCATTTTGATAAGAACACCCCCCAAAAAAATGGGGATGTCAGTGAGTAAGAGCTGAGAGAACACATCGGAGGGTTGAATCGTTGTTTGCACTGGTAGGGTTGGGGCACAAGGCCTTTGGAGATGGCTGATAGCCGTTATGAGAACCACCACAAGCACTCAGTGAGTGACAAATGAACTGGCGTTCGTTTCGCACATTTGAGGCCTCTCTGGGGGTTGCCATTGACAATTTGTTGCAAATGCACCAACACATAAACGCGCCTACTGTTCCAATAGAATCACACATAAATATACATTATATATTATACTATACTATACTATATTATTTATTATTGTAAACAAACAATCCTTTGCCCCCCCCAAAAAATCCTACTCTTTGGGTCTTTGGGGCAAATGTTCGAGTTAAACCTCTCAAACATGATTTCAAGAATGGCACCCTCCAGCGACCAAAAGGAGTCTGAAATGGCCTCGCCCTTGCAAATGGGCATCTTCCACAGTTGGCAGCTTTGCGCCGTGTGGCCGAACTGGAAGCCATGACAGCCTGGCTTGGAAGCCGAAGGTGGGCACGTGTGCATGAGTATGTACACAGTGTCAAGATGTGTCAAGTTCCTACACAAACCTTAAGCGCTTAGTGCCACACACACACAGCCATTTTTTGTGCCACACGCTGAGTGTGAAAAAAAAGCGCATGGAAGTCCATGGAAATATGAACAAACATGAAAAAGACACATAATAGCCATGGCCTCCACCCTAGTAGCAATGGCCTCCAACCTACTAGCGATGGCCTCCACATGAACATGTAGAGGTTCTTTCTCTGGTCATCTCAATAAGCAGGTACACAAATGGTACACAAAAGGCCGTCCCTTCTGGCTTCACCCGCTTCTGAGTGCATCTTCGTTAGTTCAGGGACGACTCACAACTGCCTGGACTAAGTCAACTCTACGAACCTTACCGCTTGTCATAGCGGTGTGCTCACACACACACACAACCATTCCATCATCGTTTCCACGCATCTTCCAACCCGCCACCTGATTCACCGTTGCATGCAGCAGCGCACGCCCTCAACGAGTCGACCTTCTTCGCCTCAAAGTAATGTCAAACAACTTCAAAAAATTAAAAACACAACTATATAACATCCACCTACAGCTATAGGATGCTATCGGTCCTAAAATGTCCTCAAAAACAACCTCCTTTTCGGTGACATGAACGCTTACGGTTGTTCCCTCTTTCAGCTGGTGGATAAGACCATCCCACTCCTCGGAGCACGATCCGAAAAACTGCACGATAACTCGCCCAAAAGGGCTAGCCTCAACGACCGACCTGCATTGGCTGGCAATCAATATATATATAATATATTGCAGTATATTGTATACATTATACAACAGTTTTTGTTGAGTGAATATTTTTGGAGGAACCATACGCAGGAGCTTGGTCTCTTTTGTTTTGGCAGCAGCAGCAAGCTTCTATATATAATAGACTGTGTGCCCAACAAACCGGGTGTCTTGGATGCTGAGTCCACAACCTCCATGTGCCCTGGTAGCGGTTTGGCATTCCTGGCCAAAAACTGATGATACTCCCGGAAGGCAGGGTTGCCATCACGCCCCTGAAGAATGGACACAACATGGCACAACCCATGCAACAAATGAAGCAAGAGCCGCACAACCATGGTGCGAATGAACTGAAAACGACGAGTTTGTTACAAGCAGGTGGAGATTCGATCCCTCGAAAATCATGCAAACGTGCCTCTCTTTTCTACCTCAAAAGGGCTCGCTTACTCCCAGTCTTCACGGGTTCTACGTCAATACATCCTGGAGCACCTTGGAGAGGCACACTTCGTGCCGAAGCCGGTGCTTTCAAAGCCGCCCTGGAGATGGACACACTGAGATCGTCAGCCAGGCGTGCGATGTTGACAAAAGAATCCGAAAAAACACAATATGGAATTGGAAAAAGAGTCCATTTATCTGTCAGCAAGCAGCTGTAGAGCATTGGTAGATGTAAATGGCAAGTCTTTGGCCTCCATGTCCAAGCTACCTTTCTCCTCGAGCGTAGGATCTTCAAAGTGGGCCATCTTGTGAAAATTGCCTGCAATTGATGACGGGAAGTTCTTCCATTCCATGTTATATACTCCTGCTGCAAGGCTTGCAAGGTCTTTTCACAGCCAATATTGCCAATGATAGTGCACATATATGGCTGCCTAATATGGCCAATCATGCTGATATTCTTTGCCGTGCCTGCGCCTGCTGCAGCACCCTCCCGCGTCATCGCAGAAAACACCTCTCGGGATATTTCTTGAAGACACCTTACACAACAAATCGGTATATTACTGACTTCCTTGTTACTGCTAGTAGTGCCCTTGTTACTGGTAGCGATGCCCTTGTTATATACCAGTAGCGAATAAAACGGTCCTGACTCCGTGCCTGTGTCTTGAACTTGCTGAGAAAATCCGGACCTTAGCACGAGCCAAAGCGGTTGCACCTTGTAGATGTTTGCTTTGAAATTAACCGTCTAACCACTTGTAACAGCAAAGCATGAAAGCTAATGCGCATTGTGGTTCGGGCTCATTGCATCCTTCATGGCTTGCTGCGGAGGTGCCGTTACCTACAACCACACACACAAAGGCTTACAAGTGCTAAGTCCTTGAATCGTTGAATCCTCACATGTGTTCTCCACACGGCTGTGGCCGATCGGCTAGTAGTGCTGTGTCGGGTTTCCCGTTCTTTGCCAAATCAGCTGACTGCGTCGGGCCTCAGCAACAATGACCACGCTAGATCCTTGCCCTGTGAGACCAACTGCATCCTTGGCCACCGGGTATCTGAGGGACTTTCACCTTTTCAAAGAGGCATCCCAATGCTGCTTTCTCATCCGCAAACTAAGGCTGGCTGGAATGCATTTCTCTAACACACAAAAGCCAAAAGCATGATTGGAGAGTGAGCTCAAATCCAAACAACCTCAGTCACCGGTCACGGGTTCTTCAGCTATCTAGTCTACGCCTGCACAAACTCCGCTCAAAGCTGTCCTCAAGTGATAGCAGCCGCTTCTCTGCCGGGTGCTTGAGGTGAACGGAGACCACCTGCTCCAGGGAAACCGCTGAAATAGGCACATCTGCCACGCGCTTTGCGGCCCCCACGGCCTCCTTTTTCTTGAAAGTGCTTTCGGATCTTTCTCAAATCTTTTGGGGATGACTTGGCGGTATGAACATGTGGTAAATTTGGTACTGCCAACATGCAAAGGCGGCAAAGGGCCGGGAGCGGCGGTTGTGGTCCTTTGCCTCGCTTGGCACCTGCATGACTGTGCTTATGGATCTGGTGGCTGCCCTGGCAGTGGTGCGGCATGCAGCTTAATGCGTCGCAAATCCTCACCACTTGCAATCTGCTGTGCAAAGAATGCGGGCTTGATTGCTCTCTTGGACTTGCTTCAAAACAAACACCAGCCCAATGGCTCATGCCCGACAATCTGCATTCAATCCCGCCTGACCAGCATGGGCATGAAAAGGGCATCCATGCCCTGTGTGTCTTTCAAGCTCACCATCATGGAAATCCTGTGCGCTCTACTCAAGAATTTGGTTTTGCAGCTTTGGTCACTCAAGCAGCACATGTATAGACCACGCATCAGCAAGCTGTACCGTTTTTGCGATGCTCAGAAAGTCACATTAACGAATGGGGACAAAAAGCAAATCATAAACCTCACACAAACAAAAACGCAACCTACAGACCGACTGCTCCGCAATAGTCAGTGATTCAATACTTGCAGTCTCCCTCTCTCTCTCTCTCGCTCTGGTATGTATCAAACACATATATCTACTTGTTCATGTCTTTCGGGCAAGGGACGAAACAACAGGCTTCGATTCAGGGCACTGACCTTTGACCTGAGCGGCGGCATGTTGCAGTCTTAGTGGGATTCTTCATTATTGCTGCATTGACGTGATTTGGATATTTGCCATTGGATTCCGTCCTGTCTTCCTTCCTTTTCGTCTGAGCTGGCCTTGCCTACCTGTCTGCCTCCCTCCCTCTTTCCATAATGGTCAAGCTACAGCGAAAAGGAATTAGCAAGACTTTAACTTCGACATTGAGTTTTGGGCCGGTTTGCCACTCACATAGTCCTGACATATTCGACTCGCCTAACCTATCCTCAATGGACAAACGCAGGCTAGAAACGTTCCACACAAGCATCTTGTACAAGGAAAGGGTGTGGGTGGAAGAACTTAATCGCAAACACACACACACACAACTTCCGCTATTTGGTGCCAACCTGTGGTGCAACAAACTTCATATAGACCCTAATTGGTTTCCAAGCTCTACTGCCAAGGGGCAGCCAACTATAACTTTCCGAATCAAGAACATGCACAATGTAATCCCACACTTCGGGTCGACAACATTGGAGTGAACTCACCTGGAGCTGCTGCTTTATGTCGGCAAAATCTCTCTTCTCCTGCCCACAGAATGTTGCCGATCCCTTTTACCAGTTCCACTGGCGCAAAAGGCAACAGTGTTCATTGCAAACATACAAATGTTATATGGTTTCTTCCATTGTCCATCTCTGAAGCTTCCGCAGACTTGGCATGAATACGACTCAAGGAAATAGCGATAGGGGGGCGGTGCAAGTCTCTCACAGTTGTCCCAAACTAACTAGCGTATGATTTACATATAACTAAGATCAACTCAATAGCATGATTTCAATATGTGGAAATGGTTGTGAACGTGCGAAAGGGATCAGCTGTGCTGTAGGTTAAGGTTACTTTTCGGTTGTGCGTGCAATTGGAAGTGCAAGCTCCCTTTCTCTATACTCAAGCAAAGGCCACACCTCCTCTCCCAACCAATCTGCTATTTGCGTCTCCACCTTTAGAGAAAGCCAATCAGTCACCAAGAACCATCAGTGCCCTGCAAGCTACGAGTTTGTACTCAGCTCAGGTTCTCAGACTGCAACTTTTGATTGGGAATCAGGTCAGAATGATTAACAACCGATGCTTCTTGGTTTCATCACTCAACAAAATCCTCACACAAAGGCTCCGGTAGCCTGCAACCGTCTGCCGGGTGTGTGGCCTTGAAGTGCGGGCAGCGGGGAATGCGCACGCTGTGCTGCACTTTGCTGAGAGGCCTTTTCGATAATTTCTAGCTCCTAGGGACAAACATGATCGCCCATAGTCTTGGAATCCGAAACAAACCAACCACCACATGTCAAAAGGTTGTGAGGCTGTGGCCGCAAATGCTCTTGCTGGCTGGTATTGGCCTCCAATAGTCAGAACAGCTTGGGACAAGAAGAATTCAGGGAAGGGGCTAAAAAGCAATGGAGCATGACTGCACCCCAATTATGCATGAATTACATTAGTATCATTAGTGCAGTATGGTAGGAGGCAGGGCTGCACTGCATGAGTATGGCGCACAAACTTAGTGTGGAAGTGTCTCCAAAGGTGGAGGAAAACATTTGCTATTGTAAACCACCCCAAGCAGCTGAGAAGGAGGCTTGCGGCACGCAACGCAGTCTCCTCAAGGCACCGACTACTCTACCGGCTAATCTTCGAGATGCTTCACCACCAGTTATTTGACGCCTTTGATGAGGGCACACCACACAAAGAAATAAGACTTTGGACAAAACATGCGTGTCCTGGAATATCACCATGGAGGACGAAATCTTGAAGCTGCTTTTCCATCGACATTCCTGCAGGCACTGAGACACCATTCAGCTTTGCCATGCAAATTCTTCCCATTACTGTGACAGTGCATTTCCGCTTGTGAGAGGCAAAGGTGCTTATAGCTGCTGCCACCCCCCGAGAGACACACAGCGCCTTGCAAGTTTCGGTAGTCATCTGTGATCTGGCGGCCACCGTGTCATGGAGATCAACATGGTCAGAACCCCATGACTCGGTTGGTGTTTTTCATATCTCGGCAAACAACTTCTCCTGCCCCAGCCCGCCCCGGCTGATGTGTCATGCAAAGTTTGACGCAGGAGTTCACTGCCACCGACGTTTTTCTGCAAACATGCTGCAGGTATGGTGAAAACCAAGCATGACCCAACCAAATGTACAATGTACAGTATCCAAATGTATCTGGTGTAAGCCGCCTCCTCGTGTCTTGCTGTGGTTTCAAGCACCTCGGTCAACATACCAGTACATGGCAAAATGTTAAAGTACCCGGACCTAAACAAATTAAACATGTGCAGAACAAACAAGCTATGCAGCTATGCACCCTGAATGATTTCAACCGAAACCATGTTGCAAAGTGGCACATCGCCGCCACAACATCTTTTCCTCGCACCCTTTGAACATGAAGTATCAAGCCTAACTTGCCATTTGGCACGTATGTCACATGAATCAGTGATCGTCATGTTTAAGCGGGCTTCCGATGCATCTTTGCCCGTACTATGGAACATATGGAACTAATACTTGGGTTATGAATTGTGCTCGCCCAGTTCGAAGCGATTGGATGCCAAAAAGTCAGTCTCACATTCCCTCACATTGGGCCCGGACGGAGAGGCAAAAAACCAGCAGGAAGCTAATGAAGGCAAGGAGCAGCGGCCAGCTGTTGGCAAACGATGGCGGATCCAGGACAACCCAGCAGTTATTTCTGAGAGTTGCTTGGCGTTCTTTTCCAAGAAAAACCATCCCAAGCTTAGTCTCCAAAATCTATGGACTCTGCTGCGGCGCCATCGTCAATCTGTCATGAGCAGGTGGCACAACACGATCCCTGCCAGCCTGCCAAGAGAGGTCACCTCGGTCACCTCTGATGGCGAGGATTCCTGGCCACAGGAGGCTGCCCAAATGTCAGGGTGTTAGGGTTGATGTGTTGTGCTGAGTGAGGGTATAAGGGCATTGGAACTTGTACATGAAGCTGCGATGTCTGCTTACCAATTGCGCCCTCAGCATGCATGATGTATCCTCTTGATCAGCTGCTTTGAGCTCGTGTGCAACTTGCCCCGATGCGTGTCCCAGAGGACGCACCATGGCACAAAAAACTCTCACACTCTCGTGCCTGCAGGACCTCAGATTCCTCGGCCCCCTCCTTGGCGCGCGAGTCAACGCACAAACAATCATAAAGGAGCAATAGACTATTGACAATGGTCAAATTTATCATAGAAGGATTTTGTGATTTGTGATGGTGTTCTCTTTTTTCACTCTCTCTCTCTCTCTATCGTCTGACCGATGTCTGCCCCGGCCTGGCTGGGGGACAAGAACTAGGTAACTAGGCACTGCCCTGGATGAAACAAGTGGCAAGCTTTTGGGCCATGTATGGCCACATCCTTCAATCACTGCCACCACTCAAAAGGACAGGAAGGGAATTCAGATGATCTTACAGTGTGGAGCCCAGGGAAGAAGTGCTGGAAGGACGTCAGAGACAAAGCCATAGGGTTCGTATTCATGGTGAGCATGGCACAGGTCAATCAAATGAAGATGAAAAAGGCTGATGAAAGGCTTCGAGCCGTCTGCAAGTTCGACAAGTCTCATAAATGGAGAAGAAAGGGGGCAAAGACTGCCTGTAGCACACAAGAAGTTGCTCTGAAACATCCGTGGTATATAGCATGACTTGTTCTGGTAACCTCCAGAATTGAGCCCTGCAAGCTCAATGGGTGCCACAGCTGCAAGCGTGTGGCAAAGAAAGGTCATTCCCGCTGAGCAGCTGCAAAGACTAACCACGGAGGGAATCAATGCTCCTGCTCCTCCTTCTCTTGCGTGCGATCTGCGAACACCCCTCAATTTGCCAAGCGAGTTCTTGTTGAGCACAGGGGTAATATTGCTCGAATATGTGTTTATTCAAGCATCACCCACAGCAGCTCTTTTTATGATACCCTCTCTTCGCTTGCTCTCTCGCACTGCCGTAGGCATATCGGAGGGGTCTGAAGTGAACCTGCAGAAATGAAGTCTGTAAAGAAATAGGCAAATATTGATATACATATAATATATCGGCGTCTCAAGCCGGCGCATCAAAGTGCATCACGACAACTACAACAGATCTTCAGGCATCAGTAATTGTCTGATGTTTGCAAGTTCAAGTCTGTAAACGAGCTTGGAGAGGCGTTGTAAAATTGGACTTTGTGAGGGAGAGGGCATCTGGTTTTGCACCAAAGGAAGTCTAACCAACACCACCTGCCAGTGGAATTGGCGATGCGGTTTTCAATCTCCAGGCTCAAGTTAGCATCAAAAGTGAGAGTTCCGCGAAGCTACTTGAGAACCATTGTGCAGTTTCTGTCGGTCGCTAAAGTAAATGGGTGTCTTTTCCATTCATACTAACCACGTGACATGTCTTCTCTCTTTATCAGTTTTACACAAGCCGTTAGACGCTGATTCAGCTTCTGTGGAGGCGCTTCTGTGGCGCGAAAAGATCTTTGTTCGCCATTAGCGTGTCATTGGCACGAGCACATCACAGAAACTCAAGAAGTCCACAAACTCTAGCGACAAGGAATTGTGCTCACAGTAGATGTCAAAGCGAATATAACTTGCATAATTGAATCAATCTGAACAGGCACCAGCTAAGTGGGTACCTTGACGGATCCCAGCTCTTCGCCAATTAGTGCTGGATTGCATGCCATCAAAGGAAATGTTAACATGTCATTTATGAACCATGAGACAATAATAATGAGCTTTTTGGCCTGCCAGGATTTTGCAATACTACTTATAAATTGCGCCAACATCCAGACCCCAAAACTAATTGTAAAAACACCTTTCAGAATGCCTTGTTCTTCTCCTTATTATTTCTTATTTGTTATGTTTTATTTCTTATTTCTTATTTCTTCTTCTTCTTCTTCCTTCTCTATCTTCTTTTGTGAGCTCTCTTTTTTACCTTTGACCATCAAATGTCCAAAAACATTGGCTAGCCAAAGGCTTAAGGTTTCCTTATTGGAACCCTATCAAACATTATCTTCAAAGGGTATCCCTTTAGACTCCCACCCCCTGCAATTATGAACAAACCTACAATAATCACCCCCCTGCAGCCCTGCTGGATTATCCCTTGCCTTGTGCTTTCCCTTTTACGTTTAACTTCATCTATCTTCGTCTTCCTTCTTTTTGTGAAATCTTTATGTTTAATCTTTGCCCATCAAATTTCCAAAAACATTGGCTAGCCAAAAACATTGGCTAGCCAAAAGCTTTTTTTGTTTCCTTATGAAACCCTATCAAACAAATACAAACAATTTTCTTCAAAGGGTACCCCTCTAGACTCCTAGCCAAAAGTTTTTGGTTTCCTTATTAAACCCTATCAAACAAATACAAATTATCTTCAAAGGGTACTCCTTTAGACTCCCACCCGCTGCAATTATAAACAAACCGACAAACCTACAATAATCAATGGCTTGCAAAAGCTTGGGTGTAATGTTCAGTGAAATGAGGGCCTCCTGCATTCTACAAGTTGATCCGACTTGAGGGATGCATTCATGAACGTGCAACAAACCACACGACTTCAAGTTGTACAGGACAGGACACGGAGAAGGCCCCTTCATTCATGCCCTCATATCAAATTACTCGAACGGGAGGGCTCTGAGCTCCGCACAGATAAACCCATGTCTGATGCTGGTGCCACTGGCCGATACACCATGCCGATGGCCTGTGCTACCACTCTCACGTTGCAAGGCAACACAAGGCAACCCCCAAGAACATCGAGGACTGGCAAGCTACAACACCAATCAAGCGTTCGACTGATTTGACTTCTTAAACATTAGTTTGAGCAATGAAGGTAAAACACACCCGGGCAGTTGAGGTAGTTGATGGATGTGGATGGTAGTCAGTTGCAAGTGCAAAATGTGACCCATGCCCCTGCCTCTCGTGCCACTTTCAATGGCTCAGTCGGCTGATGCTCGCCACTTGAACCATATTCAAGAAATATATTGCAGTAACTATTGCAGCATATACACAAACACGCAACAAGCGCAAGCTTGAGACATGCACTCATTTCATGCATCTAGGATAGGGGTGACAGGGAAGGCCACTCCCCTTCGGCGAGAATATGCAAGAATGAGGTACAGGACAGGATGCAGTTGTTTTCTGCGGCAAACACCTGTCCAAAACTAAACTGCACTGGTTGGTTGGCTTGGCATGCTTGGCTGAGTTTACTTTCTCCACTGGTGCAAACAATGCGCGCAACTCACAGCACTCCTCCAACCTCCCTGTACGAGACTGACGTCTGTCTGCCAGCGTGCCTCAAGGAAAGCATTAACATGTTGCAATTTATTCAGTTGGGTGCCATCAATGGTCTCAGCAAGACTCAGGAGTCCTGACAGAAGCGCATTTCAGCAGTTCATTGCCATAATGTCATTGCCTCGGACTAACTTGACTTGGCCTTCCTAGGGGTCGGGGACAGTCCGTGAAAGCCCTGGCTTCAGCAAAGTGCTTCATTTCTGGGTGCGTCTCATTAAGAGAAGCTGTTGGTCGCTTTGTTTGGCTTGAATGCCTGTCCGTGCGCTGTTCGCATGGACAACAGCTCCAAGAACTTCCTCATTTTACTGATACACCGCTGACACAGCAGAAGGGAAGCTCTTTGCCTAAAATGAATGTGCTGCTCTAAAGGTTGTTTGAAGTGCCCTTGTCATAAAGCCATCTAGCGAACGCAAGCAAACAGCTTCACCATCTGCACACTGTCCATTGCAAACAGTTTGCTGCAAACATATTCCTTCTACTGGCGCTCCGGTTGGAAAAGAGCGAGAAGAATTACAGCCAACAAACTATCACTGTGATATCATCGACCACATTCCTAAGTGCCACAAATGCGGCGAGAACGGTGGAAATTACCTCCACAACTACAGCACCATTGCCAATCTTTTCACAAGGTTCCCCTCTTCTTGTATCCAGCGCTTCCATGCCTCCTTTGCCAAGGCCTCTCACAAGTAAAAACCTTTGCACTATAATATATATATATATAATGGTGCTGGTTTTCGTTGGACCAAAAAAAACACTTGAGACATCAACAAGAAAACCAAATTCTGATGAAACACATTGAACATGGATGAACATGGACTTTTTCTCGAGCCTCAGCCGCTTCTTGGGCCTTGGCTTTGCCAAATGGGGCCACCAAGTCCACGGCCTCCTGCATTTCAAAGAACTCCCAAACCTCAATGACCGGGGATGACAACGACAATACACTCCCTGAAACAAGTACAGTAATAGAACTGGGACATGGCCCGTTGGATTACCATTTTCCTCTACAAACAGGTGGTTTTCCAATTCCATGTTAGTTTTCCTCGGAGTAATAAGTGGTTTCATGATTGGTACATGAGCATCATCCAGTTCATCTGCGGCTTGCCATCCACCTGAGGATCCAACCTTGAGCCTATCCTATCATAATTAACGGTGAACATGGCGCCACTTGGATACACCAAAATCTGCTCAAAAAGGAACATTGCCCTTCATATCCTTTCATTCTGGGGTCGTTCGTTCTTATTTGCGGGACCCTCCATCCATATTTTCGGACAGCTTCTACATCATACAGTAGTCAGCCACGTTCAAGAAAGCAAACCCAATCCAGCTGCCGAGCAGCCCCATCTGAGCAAATCAGCATAAACAACTCCTTCTCCCTGGCAAAGGGCAAACGACAATCACGAAATGTGGCATTCCAATCCATCCCATCAGCCCGTCAGGAACCTGCCTGAATTCGATCCGTCTGACATCAGCATCGGAAATGACCCCACAGCTGGTGCCAATCGTGTCGCCCAAGGATCTTGAGTTGATCAAACCTGCAACTTCGACCCAAGAGACAAGAAAGAAGTGAACGTCTTCAAATCCCAGTGGACGACTTCCAAAGATGTAAACGGTATCTATACGCACTTTTTTCTCAGTGGAATGCATGTTGCGTCATTCATGTGAGAACCTCAACAAGAAAGCTATACACAAGATTAAACAAGTCTCAGTCTGAATCTCTGAGAAGTGCCTGGGTATAATTGGTTCTTCAAAAACAGCCTTTGTGGAAGGTCTCCGTCAAGGCGTTTCCTCGGAGAAGCGTAGGAAAAACGAGATACTTTTGGGCCCCTAGCTGGCCATGGCAGAATCCGGCACAAAAGTTAAACAGTCATGGCGGTCATGAAGTGATATGTATGATAAAACATGATAAAACAGTCCCCAAACAAAAACAGAGTTCAAGCGGTCAACCACACTAATTTGATTTTGGGTGAGCGGGTGAGAGTGTCATTGGACTTGTGTTCGGACCAGCTTTTGCAGCTGAGAATCACTTCTCCTCCGCTTTCTTCCACTCTCTGCCTTGATTGGGCGACATCTTGTAGCAAAGGGTGGGACACAAGTGTCATTCTGTATAGAACTGCTTGGAGGCTTGCTGTTTTCAAGCTATAGGCGCAAATCGGGCGGTGCCAGTTTTGCATCTGGGTCTCCCCACTTCTCTTCATCATCAGAGAGCCGATGAACACGTGTAAGCTGCTCCCAAGTAAAAACCTTTCCAGCCACAGCCTTCCTTGCCAGAATCCCTGTCGAGTCTCCAACGTTGGCAATGTACCTCAATATTTATGAGTCGAAACGAGCGCTTTGCTATTCCAACGGCTACTGTGTCACAGAGCTTTTTGCCACACGGATACTCTCACACACCCTCTCCTGTCTGTCTCACTCAGGCAAGGTTGCTGCTTCGTATCAGGTATACAATAGAATCATAATCATAGTATCCAAACATTACTAATTACCCTGGGGAAAGGCAGCCGCGTTCTTCCGAGCTGCACCACATTCTTCCGCACAAAAGCCATGGTTGCTGTAGTGCCGCTCAAAGAACAATCGAAACCGCGCTCTTCCTGGCTTTCCAAGCCTGGGTCACGCCACGAATTCGCCCTTCAAGTCCAGTCGTAAATAGATACCCTCACAAATCATGACGCAGTTCGAGCCAGTGGGAACATGCTTGCAGCATCTTGCAGCATTTGCATTGTCCTGTCTGCAATAAGCCTGCAAAACAAGCTGCATCTTTTCTGCGTTGCGGCAAAGGCGTCCTTGAGTGCCTTTTCCACGTCATTTTGCTTGAAGTGCTGAGATTGAAGAAATTCTCGGGGAAGAATCTCTTGGACGTAGTTCGCTAAGTGATGGCCGTAGGGGCCATGCCCATCGAAAACGCCCACCTCAAAACAATTCAAGTGTTCCAGGCTCCTTGCTGGTCGATTTCCGGCACAAGTTCTTGGTGTTTGTATCAATCATTGACATGCTTCTGCATCTAAGGTGCTAAAGTAGCAAACTTTGTGTGAAAAATGCAGAAATCATCCTGGCTGGGGCTTTCAGGCTTCAAGCCTTTCCTGCATACATATCCTGAGCACTGCCAACTGCAAAGGTTTCAGGATGATGATCACTATATATCACTATATATTCTTCACACAAGTTATTCGTCAGATTTCTTCGGCCACGGTGCCCACGGCGGCTCGTTTCAATATGCCCGGTACGCCCTCCGTAGTGGCCTTCTTGGGTGCAAAGCCGTCCTCATGCTTTGCTCACAGGCACAAAAAGTGCAACAACCTCACTATCATGGTGCACCAAGTGTGTCGAAAATCGTCTGACCCATAGAGCATTTGTTGAGATCCCAATTTGCAAGTGCACCATGACACGGGTCAAATGCCGACTCACATTCTGCTGAAACTCAAGGAAGCGCAACAACATGGTGAGGATAATACATCTCTATAAACCAAACTGAAACTGCAAAAATCAGCGGAGTTAAACTGAAACTGCTTTGAAACTCCAGCTGACATATGACACTCCTGCTGGTCATCCTGCTCCGTCACGACACCTCGAACTGCAACCTTGGGTGCATTCTTCTCGCACGGAAGAAGCCTGAGCAAGGCGGCCCAAAGAAATTCTCTACCCTTAACAAACCTTTCCGTTCCTCAAACTTGATGAGTTACTAGTAGTTTCTTGCTAGTAATGCCAGGAGCTACTAATAGCCTCTGGCTCCTAGTAGCGGTGCCCTTTGCTACTAGTACGCCCCACATGTCATCACAACCCAGCTTCTTTAAGATCTTTAAAAATTTTCAGGGAGCAGATCATCGCACTTGCTCTCCGGCTTTGACTGACGGCAAGTTGCTCCAGTGTGGCATTGGGATCACCTTGGATGTGGAGAATCCAGAATGGTACTCGTAGCCTTTAGTGTGTGGCCGCCTATCTTTTGCATCTTGGGCACACATCCAAACATTCCTCCACGCTGGTACATGCTTCATGCCACCCCTAGCCCATCTTTCCAGCCCTACTCACGCCAAGCAACCTTTCTTGGGTTTCCCAAAAAGGCAGCCCATGGCTGGCCATCAGTACCGAGCTGCGCTCAGAAATGCCAAATGGATTCTTGTTGTATTGCCTATGTTTTCCAATGTCAACCTCCGCATATAGCCGACAATGACTCCTTCTCGAGCTATGGCCTTGTTCTGTGCTCTTTGGTGCCCACCTTTCAAAAGGACTGAAGCTGTGCGCCTGGAGAACGAAACCGGCAAGGATCTCCGGGCCTTTGTTGGACCTTCCTCTGCCAAAACGTTCAGCCAAGTGGCCACTGCCAAACTGCAACAAAAAGGTTGCCCAATCTCTTATTTTGTCCGGTGGTGGTAGTATCTCACATATGTCTCAATTAATATGTTGCATATGTCTTAATTAATATAATTAATATAACTATATATATATATACATCTATGTACAGTATGTGTGTGTGTGTCACCGCCTGTGTCCAAGGCTCGTGACAGTTGCAGGGGGACGGGTCACCGGTGATACTGCCCGTCCAACGAAGAGGCTATCAGTTGGTGCTGAAGCGGTGGAGGGCACTCCACTGTGTACCTGCGAGTTTTAACAGTTGAGCAAGCCGTTTTCACCCCACTCTTCCGTAAAGGGCTAACGTGTGATGTTCAAACAATTCAGTTTTGCCGACCCAGCATGTTTCGGTTATGCAAGTCAAGGTCTAATGCACCGGTAACGTACTCACTAAAGTGGAAGATCGAAACCGATTTAGCTCTTGCAAGCATCAATCTAAGTGTGTCCGCCACAGAGTCCCACTGCGGGCTGTGGTGTGATCCCCAGCGAGGGGCGCAGCATGTGCACATGCCCTTAAGGGTGCCCCTTCCTGATTCTTCCTTTTGCACGTGATTGTCCATCATGAACCTTACAGGCTCCATCGTTTTGCTCGAAAGTGCCGATTCTACGCTGAGGTCATATGCCGCAGGGCTTACTGAGATCAAAGTGCTGCTAGGTAGTCATAGGCCACGCTGCTAAGTAGTCACATGTCATGCTGCTAAGTATAGTCACTTTATGGTTCTTTTGTTCCTGCTGTTGCTCTTCGTTTTCTAGGTTTTTTACTTTTTCTAGAGGCTTTTTAGGTCTAATTCAGGCCTTTTAGTCAAGGGAGCGCCGACTACGGCTTTTCGTCACGCCTTCGGGCAAGGACCCCCCAACCCCCCCCCACCCCTCGCACCTTTCGTTCCTTGCCTTTTTCGTTTGCTTGGACTTTCCTTCAGGCTTGTCAGGTTGGCGTTTGGGCTCGTTTAGTCAACGCACGCCCTTCCCACACCCCGCACCCCTTGCACCTTTCTTTTCTTTCCTTGCCTTTTTCGTTTGCTTTGTTCTTTCCTTCAGGCTTGTTAGGTTGACATCCAGGCTCGTTTAGTCAATGCGCTCCCACACTTCCCCCCCCCCGGACAAAAAGCCGAGCGCCGATCTCCGGCTCTGTGTGTGTGT